TGACAGTTACTAGTTGAAATCCTTGAAATGAGCCATGGAGGGAAGGAATGGCTTTTCTGCCTTCTGCTGACTCCTAGAGTCTTAGCCAGTTCTTATGGCAAAGCTTGGGATCATTAGCTTTTGAACTATTGTACCACATTTCAAGTGGATAGCTGCATTAGATTCCTACTAGATGTGTGCACACTTAGCAGTGTTTTACATGTATAAGAAGAAAATAATATATACTTTTAAAAACATAGTCTGAGAACATATATTATATGCAAAATATATATAAAATTCTTTAGTTATTTGTCTATCAAGACTTACTTTATAAGTTTTGCTAGATACTTTGTTCCATTCCTATTGGAAGTTAATAAGCTGGATGCGTCCTAAAACTACAAGGCTTATTACTTGAGTCTGAACAAAAAGTTAGGAATGCACAGGAGTAAAAGACCCTTATGTACTTATGATTAGATTTTTAGGGGATAATTAAATTACACAAATGAAAATCAAATATCCTTGCATTTTCTTGTATCGACCCCTTGTCTGGGGAGACATCAGACCCTTTCACAGAGCGCATTGTCCTTTCTCTGATGTAACACAGCAGCAGCGGGAGGAGAAGGCAGCTGCCCACATTTGTTACTGTGGCTTCAGGGAAATTAGAAGTTGGAAGGGGCAGTGAGCCTGGGCTTGGGTGAGTCCTGAGATGTCTTCCATTCACGTCATTTCTGAGTCTAAAGGAAAACTTCATAGCACACATTGGGGGACCCTTCTGCCACCTCCAGATATCTAATTCCAGGGTGATGATCTCCCAAATGCTCCTGTATAAACTTTCCTTAAAAGTCACCCCGGGCCATTGGCTGATTCTTGCTTGGGTATTTCTCCTCCTGTTATGGGAAAAGGTCTCTCTTACCTTGAAGAGCTCAGAGCCTCATCTGAAGCCTTTGGAACTGATGCAGATGTCTCCAAAGCATGGACTAAAGGATTGGTAGGGCCGACACCTTACTTGAAACCCCATCTACTTACATTTATTATGTTAGTGGGTTTTTCCTGAGTCCATTCCCTTTGGAAGGTCATTTAAGTTTGGTGTTCTTTCTAGAGAGCCCATCTATGATAACAAATTGTCCACACTTCTAAAGCTCTATCTACACAGACATCTTGTCTCCACACTTCTGGAGACCTGCACCCTTTAGACACAAAAGAACAGATGCCAATTCATGCTTCCTGTCTCTGGCCATCCCCTTCCAAGGCTGTTGAGGAAACAGATAAGGTGTCTTAGACTTGTTTATGTCCTGCACTAAATACCACTCCACCGGAATCGAACCAGGAGACAGGAAGAGGACCTGACTCATCTCAGGGTGACTTGTCAGAGTAGGAGGTTCAGCTCTTCTCCTATTTACTCAGCAAAATTTAGAGGCTGCTGGCTTGTCGGCTTGGATAACTTTGAAGGAAGCGTCCATAATCCTGAGTGTACTGAATACAAAAAGGCTCTGAGGCTGGGAGAGATGGGCCCCGGGGATTTCTCCTCACTCCCAGCCTCTACTAAGCTACTTTTGTAGAACTGCTGCCTCCACCTTTGGCCCAGCCCAAGAGCTGCATGGTTATGGGCTCAGTTCTATCTGCTTTCTAGGTCTCAGTAGACAGTGGTGTATAAGCTCCTAGTCAAGAAGGGCTAAGGAAAGTCACTCACATTCTTTTTACTGGTTTATTTATTCTCATTTTGTCATCTCTGCCAATCTCTATGTCTCCATACCTAATACACACTCCTGATGCTGCCCCTCTGAAACTTGAAGGAGAGTGTTTTATGTGTGTGTGTGTGTGTGTGTGTGTGTGTGTGTGTGTGTGTGTGTGTTAACACTTCTGGACTACAAAGAGTGGGTGTTTTCTCTCATACTGATTCTCCAATGTAAAGTAAGTGTCCTACACTTTAGCTCATTTTTGACACTAACTGGAGTTAAGCATGTGTCCCATGAAGGTTTAGAACCCATTCCCCAAGAATTTTCCCTGACTTTGGATGCCATTTGGATGAGTGACTTTTGATTCTATTTCTTCATGAGCACTAGGTGCCCAGGCTGCTTACGGCTTGTGCTGGGGCAGCAGCTACCAGTTAGAGGCACTCTTGATTCTTTTTTTCACAATGGTTGATTCACTAGGGTAGCTCACACGACTCAGGAAAGCGTTATACTTATTACCTGTTTGGACTTTTCGTTACATTTGCTATGTGTGTGAGCATGTATGAGTGTGTATGTGGAGTGTTTATGTGTAAATGTGTGTATGTATATGTGAATATGTGTGTGTGCTTGTATGAGTGTGTGGTGTGTGTGTGTATAAGTGGTATGGTGTGGTGTATGTGTGTGTGTGTGTGTGTTTGTGTGCACGCACGTGTTCATCCCCTGATTTCCCAGCCCATTCCTACTCTCTGGAAGTCAAAGGATGAGGTTGAAATGTCAGCCTTTTAGTCACCTGGTTGTTCCTGGCAGCCACCCCAGTCTACAGATGTTTAGGAGTCACATCATTAGTAAAAGGACACATGGTAAGAATCCAAGGGTCTGGCTGGGCGGTGGTGCACTCCTTTAATCCCAGGATTTGGGAGGCAGAAGCAGGTGGATCTCTGTGAGTTCAAGGCCAGCCTGGTCTACAGAGCTTGTTCTAGGACAGCCAGGGCTACACAGAGAAACCCTGTCTTGAAAAGCAAAACAAATGAACAACAGCAACAAAAAGAATCCAAGGGTTCTAGAAACTTTGGGCCAAGTTATTATAAATCATAATCTCAGGATTTTCCGGGGCTGTCTGTGGCGCTTGGTTACAGTAGCCCAGTGAAACTGAGCCATACCCACAATATAGTAGGCTCCATGCCTGCACCTAGGATTTTAGTAGGGACCCATAAAAATGATTTTCAATTACAAAACAGGGGGGAGGGATGGAATTTTTATTGAGAAACATTTTAATATACAATATTAATGTATTGGTCTTTATATCAATGCAGTCTTGCATGTGGGCCTTATATGATTGTCTTTTAGACATTAGAAATTGGCCTGTGAGGGCATAAGTGCCTTTAGCATACAGCAATCATGAGGTAGCCCTGCCCCAGAGATAGACTTCCACGACCTGGCAGCCATGTGGAAACCTCTGAGTTTTAGACATTATATTCTTTCAGTTGGTGATTTTTGAGAATGGAGTTCTTCCGAGCAAAGGAATGTTTAATGTTAGAATTCCTTCATCTTGAAAGGTGTTGGATATATTTGTGAAAGGCTTCCTGGTGACCACTCTGCAGATGCCACTGTGCACAGACCCCCTCCCCCCATACCACAACAGACACTTGCAACGAGCGGCAGACCACTTTGCCAGAGTCTGTGGGCTGAGTTATAAAATCTTAGCATCTTAGCGCTTACAGTAACTGTCGGACCTCCGTGGCCCAACCCTCCACCAACTCAGTGTGTCTTTGTCCTCACTCAGCATCTCAGTTTTCTCTGTGTTATCATCTTCTGAAGAAGCTCTGTTGGTGAGAAAACGCAGAGGCATAGGTTGGTGCGGAGACAGCAGGACACTCTCAGAATAAGTGTACCTCTGTCCGCCTGAGCCAGCGATGGTTGGCGATTCACAGCCCCTGGGCGGAGCCCACCAGGATCATTGTTGTCTCTTCCTCTTGGGGGGATTGTTCCAGACCATCATCTACCACCTTGTGGAGAGCACTGTAGTGTTCCCGGTCTTGGTGGAATGCATGTAGCTCTGAAGCCGCCTCCCAGGCAGCAAAAGAGGGCATGGGAAAGGGATCCGGCCTCTTGTTTTCAAAAAAGCATTTCAGGTTCCTCTCACTCAGCTTGTTGGCACATTCCAGGAGTTTGTTTTCCAATTGTTCCTTCTCACTTTGTGCGTACGTCTTCCAAAAATTCAGCTGCAGATAGCTGACTTTAGATTTGCAACGTGCATAGCAAGTGGTCAGCATAGAGAAGAAGGATGCCGAACAAATCAGACACCATCCTAGAATCTTAGGGAAAAAGAGATATTGAGGACACAGAAAAGCAAAATGACGTCTCAGAGAGCTGGGTACTATTCCGGGAGAGAATATAACCATGTTAATACCACAGTCGTTACTGCCATCTCATCTCAAATTACTCTAAATGCTTAACTCTAAATGCTTTTTGACAGTCAAAATAAAGATGAAGTTGACTCAACGTTGTTGCTATGAAAAGCAATAACCAGAAAGCTGACAGATGGAAAGAGTGATTACTGAATAACTCACTCCTAAAGCACTTCCAATGGTATGGCTAGAAGAAAGAATTCTTTTTAATGCATCGTGGTTGTTATTTGAATGAACAAGCGGTTTGTGAGCCAGGTGTCCAGGCGTTCATCAACTCATTCACACACTCCTGATCAACTTTTCCCATGGGACTTTGTAGAGAGCAGCAGCCACTCTATGGATCCCAAGTGCATTGCTCACAGTTGAAAATAAACAGACAAGCAAAAACGATACAATAATTGCAGCAGTACATAGAAACTTTAAGAATTTAAAGCTGTTCTAAATGTTTAGAGATAAAAAGGGGGAGGGTCAGGTCATTTCAAACTTTGAGGATTGTTTGTTCTTAATTTCTGAAGTTAGAAAAAGCAAGCAGTTTCCTAAGCACGAATGCTCTTATTGGTGTTTTAACTTTAAAATCAAAAGTCTATAGTTAACCTATCTTCTAAATTTGCTGGTCCAATTTTGAACTTTTCATAATTTGAGTTAATTTTATATTTGAACAACTAACCAATTTCTTGAAATCATCTTTCGATTTCAGTTCAAAGGACGCTCGACAGATGGTCCCAACTGAGCACATGAGCAATAGCCTGCAGTTGGGTCCCCTCAGATCATATGAGAGCCAAAATGAGCTTTAACTCAGTGGTCCCCAAACTCAGGGGTTACTAGAAGGGTCTCACCCCGTATAAGTGCCATTTCTGAGTTGGTATTCCTCAGGCGAAACACCTGGCCTTCTCCTCACCATGGGTGTTCCCTGTACCTTTTTCTCTATTATGATTTTAAGGTTACCATCTCAGAAGATATTTGGGGGAACCCAAAGAAATGATAGTGGGCAAGAAGCTCGTGAGTTCCACCTGCTATCCACTCATTTGCAAGCGTCTCTTTCTGTCCTCTGGAAGCAGGTGAGGCACAGTCACTACCATAGCGTCCTGCTCTCCTTCAGCCATCGGTGGGCTTGTGGCTGACCCCCTCGGACCTTCCTTTCTTTCAGCATCCCTTCTTCATTGTGACTGGGCCTCCTGTGTTTGAAGCTATCTCCCCACACCTACCTGAGCTAATCCTGATGAGCTAGAAACTATGTGATCGGCTCAGATCGGCTCTCGCTTTCTGTACAACCTCAGCGTTGGCTGTTTCTCACTGCTGAGTCTTCTCCTCCCAGGCCCACAGCACCTAGAACTCCAGCTAGAATGAGGAGATTGTACCACATCCAGCCCCGAATGGTATCCTATTTGTCTCTTTCCCCAAATCCTGCCAGTTTTCTCCGCATCTTGAAATACTTAATAATGTCCTAGAAACTTTATGCCTCTTTATGTCCATTCACTCTAAGTAACTTTCCAGAGATAGTGTCACCATCCCCCACTGTGATAAGGATGGGGTTGAGGGTTCTGCACCACAGAGCTGGGGAGTGGCAGCATCAGGATTCAAAGTCAGCTGACTGCAAGGCTGAGCTCTTTCCACTACTCCGTTCCACCATCCTGAAGAACAGAGTCACCCAGCTGGGTTTCTTGTTGCTCTGCCCCACCCACCCAGGAATGAATGCACTTTTCCACCTCCGCCCACATGGCCAATTATTGTTTTGAACTGTGTGGTGCTTGCTGCCGTCTGAACCTCACAGTCAGCACCTGCTGTTGCCACATCTCCCTTCATCCACATCTCTCGGATATCCTCCTGTAGGTCTTAACCCCAAGTCCTTATTCTACCGAAAATTCAACAGGTCATTGTGGCCAAGCTAAGTTATAACCAGATGTGCATATTTTCTTTGGGCTTAGATTTAAAGAAGTGCTTACACAGTGATGAGCGTTTGGACTTGGCATTGGCTGGATGGAGCCTGGTGCCTGTGGATGTCAGCCATGTGTCATTTGTACTATGATAACATTAGTAATTAATACCTTCCCTCAACAAAAGACGGAATGCATTCAGGAGCCTGACCTGTTCCATCTAACCTATGCTTTGTGCATTAAACAAAGGAGTTTATTTAGGAACATTCTTTGGCTTATTAGTTTATGAAGAATATGATTTTATTACTATTTTAGATGGTACGAGCCAACTTTGCTTTGATGCGTTTGTTATAACCGCAAGTTCTTTCTAAAATAGTAAAAGTATAGTGTGCCTGTGCTAACAGCACTCCTGAGAAATGGTGACTCCTTTTGCTCCTATCTACTCCTATTGCTTCTTCTGACCTCAGAAATAGGAAATCAACTTTATCTCAAGGCCAGGCCGGGGCTATGTATGCATGGAGATCTGTGCTCATATACCTGGCCATATGACAAGTTCCTTCCCTGTGTTGATTAGCTGAAGCTGTAAATTACTTCTCGAAAGTAAAGCAACGCTCCAAATTCCGAGCTTCTAAAGGACGGCGGGAGCATCTTTAGCTGTACAGCATAGAGAGAAAAGTCATCATCTCTCTAGGGAATGTGGTCACTCTTCACTGAAGGCCGTCTAAAGACGGCTTGGCCCCTCTTTCGTTTGGGAAACTCTCGATCCCGGCAGCATCCAGGCACACAAGGAGCAGTGGCCAGTGTGGTCACTCAAGCGAGTTTCCATGCTCATGACACCGCCTGCTACTTTGAGAAGGAGAAGCTGATTTGGCTCGGCTGTATTTCGGTGGATGAAGAAGTTGTGTCTGCGATTTTTGAGAAACCAGCTTGAAAATTAAGTAATCGATAGAAGGCAGTAATGCTTAATCACAGCTTGGGGTTCGCACTCAGTGTGTGGCTTTTCGTTCTGCATTATTTACAAAGTCAACCCAGAGAGACGGCTTTGAGCACTTAAGTATTTACATATGCATAACCCAGAGGGTATTTTCTGTTTGGAAACGGAGACTACACTATCCAATCAGCAATTTTACTGATCCATCCTGTCCCTGAGAAGCTTCTCCTGAGATTGTCTCAATGCGCCATCCTGTTTTAATTTCCACTTAGTGTCAAAATATTCCGGCAAGACTCAAACTCTGGCCTGGCAGACAGGAAGACAGAGAGGAATCTCCAAGTTCACACTTGGAACAAAGGGTGACATTTGTCCTTACCTGAGACTGGGCTTGCAGGGACAACTTCACCTCCTCGTTGTCCGTGGGTGCCATGCTGCTTCTGCCACAGGAGACTTTGTACAGCTCTTCCCAGCACTCTTTGGGCTTGCCCTTGCAAATCATCTCCAGGAGACGTGTGCTCCTTGTCCCGCTCATGGCACATTCGTAAAACGTCCCGTTCAGCAAAGCCACAGAGAGCCACATCACTGGAGCCACCAGTGAACTCAGTGTGATGTGGCCCAGGACGTAGAAGAAGCGGCAGCAGCGTTTCCTGGGGAAGATTTTCTTGGGATTTATGCAGCAGCCAGTGAAGAGTCTCCACGCCTTGTTATTTAGAAAGAACCCAAGGATCAGTAACACCCAGGCAGGGGCAAAGAGGAAAACCAGCCCATAGGCTGTGTTCTCCGTGCTGCAGGGGCACTTAAAGGCCACTAGTGAGAAGAGACGCTCACTTCCCAGGGTCAGCAAAGCCATGAAGCTGTAGCCAATAGCCGTCTTTTGGTTAAGAAAGAATTTCAGAATGCTCTGAAACGCATCCATGTTGGAGACACAGGACGAGGGGAAGAGGAAAGAGCGCTTGCCTTGGTTTTAGCACAGCAGCTGTCGCTGTGGAGGGTGGAGCCCTTTTGAAACAACAGTCCTCCTCTGTCTGCCTCCAGCCAGATAAGGAAACAATGTCATTCCCCAGGAATGCTAATTTCCCAACAACGTTCAGATTATGCCTCCTACTGGTGACTGCTGACACTTGAGGGCTGAGACACTGAAGATGAAAAGCAAAGTGCACAGGTTCCTATTAATAATCTTCCGGTGGGCTTTTGATTGCAAATCGAAAGTTCCCACACAAATTATGGTACAGAAAATTTCCAGCAGGAGACTCGGTCCTCGTGGAAATGGGTTTCAGCCATTGACTGACTGGTAGCATTTCACAATAGGTTTCTTCTCTTGCTCTATGCCCTAAGACCTGGTAGACAGCGGTTCAGGTGTCCTAAAAGGGCTTGCACTAAAGACTTGAAACACCGTTTAGGATTGGGATGATTGGAATTTATGAGGGAAGTCTAGTATCTAACTAAACTTTCAGAGAAAAAGAGGAGCCCTCACTTCTCTTCATGTGACTCCTTGATTCAGATCTTGGTCATTTTGACACAAAGAAAACCCTTCTAGAGCAGACTTGGAGTCTACATGAGGATGTCTTCAGGCCTCCCAGCTGCCCACCAGGTGGTAGATTTGGACCTTTGCTGAAACACGGCGTGGCGTTTCATGCCGAGACACGTTTCTGTCTAAAGTGTCTCTGCCCCATCTGCACCCCACTTTGTCCACTTGTCAAATGCTAGCTTGCTCCATGCTCGTGTGTTCTAGGTCTAATTCTGGTGTCGAACATAGACTTCAAACTCATTCAGTAGCTTGATTTGCAAGTGACGACTGAACTTACACTGTGGCAGGCCCATGAGAGACAGGTGCTCCTCCATAAGAGCCAATTAAATTGAACCAAATGAGCAAATGAATGGACATTTTTCACCTTCAAATTATAAATAATTTAAGAAAATTGCTTCCATTTCTCTTATGCTGCTTTTAATTTTAAAATTAAGCTAATTAAGGCCTTTGGAGGATGGCAGCACGTCAAGCTGACAAATTTCCATTAATAAGCTTTAGAAGCTGGGCCTTGGTGTTTGGTGAAATTGCCTTGGATTAGGAGCCAGGAACTAAAAGGTCGGTCTTCACTTCTCTAAATACCAGATCACACATTTGTGAAACTTATGCTTCCAAAGAAGCAGTGGAGCCCGTGAGAGAGAGGGCTGATGGGTAAAGGTGAATTCCAGTAAGCCTGAGGATCCGAGTTCTATCCTTAGAACCCGCATGGTAGGACAGGGGAACCAGCTTCTCCTTGTCCACTGATGTCTGCCAACCACACACATGCACACACACACACACACACACACAACAAATAAATGTAAAATAATGTTTCAAGCAGAAGCGAGTCCCAGCCCTGCTTAAGATCTGCATAGAAACAAAGACAGACAGAAAGCAAAGGCTGTGAAGGACAGTTGGGGTGTCTAAGGTTTCTTCTGGCTCTGTGCTGCGGGGTTCTTGGCATCCTACACTGCAGCAGTCACTTTCGACAATTGCATTATCACACATTAATGTTGCTCCCACCACTGCGTCTTGCTCCTCCTCGAAGATCAACATCTACAGTATAATTCTGTATCCAAAACCACATCCCCATGTCTAATCTGCCCCATGGCACAGTATGTTCTCAGACCAGTGCCCTCCTCTGGTGGAATATGCCTGGAACCTCTGAACTCTTAATCTCAGGGTCTGCCACGATCAGTGTGGCATATACCACAATGTTGTGTTGATGCATTTTCTCCAAGGGTTTTTAGAAATAATATTTTCTTTTTACAAACCATATTGTTCCACAAAACCTAGTACTGTAGGATATTCTAGAAGAATTAAAAAATAATTTAAGAGTCTCCCATGGCAGATGGACAGTAAACTGCAAAGAAAAGTCTGGGCACAGATACCCTGGCTGCAGCCTCAGCTTGGCAAGCTTGATGCCGTGCTGCAATGCCCGGGAAATGGACTTCGGTCTGAGACTAATTGTTGTCATCTTCTCGCTCTTTATCAGGTTGCTTTCAAGATGTACTTGGGCATCACGCCGAGCGTGGCCTGTCACAATTCAAGCCGAAACGAATTCTCCCTGATTCTAGACAAGAATCCTCTGGCTGAGTTTGTGGAAGAGCTGCCTGCTGGACGATCTGCGCTGTGCTACTGCAGCCTGCTCTGTGGGGTCATCCGAGGCGGCCTGGAGATGGTAAAGCACATGCTTCATCTTCGTCATGCGTGTTAGCCATCCAGTGCTGTTCTCAAAGTGTACCAGCCTCAAAGGAATGCACAGTCTCTAAAGATGCGATGTCCGGGACCGAGCATGGCCTGTTACTGCAAGCCTGTCAGCTCAGCTCCTTGGGAGGTACCATAGGAAGATCAGGATTGTAGGTTCAGGGCCAAATTTGTGCTATAGAAAGCAAATTCAGCACCATCCTGGGCAACTCAGTCCGGTTCCGTATTAAAATTTTAAAAGTGAAATGGAAGACTAAGGACTTTTGCCGGAGAGAAAGAGAAGAAATCTGGGAGACGGCTCGGCATGTTCCGTTAAGCCTGAGAGCATGAATGTGGTTCTTAGAACCCACATTGTATAAGGACCGAGCTGACGCCTGCAGGTTGTGATTTTCCTTCACATTCTGCGGAACATGTTTATGTGAGAGCATACACACGCGCTAAACTGATTAGTAAAAAGGGAAAGAGCTCCAGGAGTAGGTCACGAAGTTGTGGCTGATGAGGATCTCTCACAGCTTAGTTTACAAGTAGCCTCTGCAGATTTGCTGATGCTAGACAAACCACCCACAGGTTCACACAGTGTCGGTGCCTTGCAGGCCACTGTGTGGACACGCCAGAAAGTTCCTTTCCACTTAGACCTCTTTGTAGATATAATCACAGCATGGCAGTCTGAGCTGCCAACCTTGGGGCTATGTGGGAGGGGACTAGCTGAGGACCTGTGGTACAGGAGGTACAGGTCAGTGCAGGCTGACTTTCACACCTAAGGTATTCATTGGTTTAACTGAGACAGTTATTAGCATCCGTACGGTGCCTGGGACTGAGCCTGCAAAGATGGACAAGATACAGAGAATCTCCTGTCTAGTTTAAGAAGTCACGTGCAAGAAAGTGTGATACAGGGGTAGAGGGAGACCTGGAGTAGGAGAGAATCTGTACAGTCTTGATAGAAACTCTGAACTGACTTTCTAAGGAACCATGGGAGTTAGGTGAATGCTTTCATAAAGTGAACAGGAAAAGAGTAATATTTCAAGTAGAAGGGACAGAATGTTCAAAGGCTCCTCAAAATAAAAGAACCAGAAACTCAGATAGTTCAGGACTGACATGAAGACTAAGCGAGGGACTGCCATGGGAAAGGCTTGAATTCTTTAAGGATAAAAGAAGGGATCCACATGACAAGCCGGGAAATTAAGTCTTCTATATTGAAAGTACCTGAGCAGATGCAGGTTTATAATCAAGGAAATAGGAGTCTGAAATTTACGTTCTAGAAACTCCAATCCCTTGTCAATCAGATGAGAGTGTACACTGAAGAGAGAATGCCGAGGGAGGGAGGAGAGCAGACATAAAGCTGGTGCTGGTAACCTCAACAAAAACCAAAAGGCATCCCTGGCAGCAGTAATCAAGAGGCAACTCCCTGGACCAGTACTTGTCAGGGCAGAACAGTCAAAACTCTGATGTCAGCTGGCAGAAAGGGACACAATTGAAAAAAAGAAAGATTGAAAAATGACCTTCAGGTTTCTGAACAAACCCGTAGGGGAAATCACAGTATTAACCAACAGAACAAAACTAAGAGGGTTGGAATTGACAAGGGGGGAAAGCGCAGTTGTGAACCTGCTAATGCTGAAATGTTCAACAAACACACAGTGAGGATTTCCAAAAGAAGTTGCCTCTTTTTTTATTCCTTTATTTACAGACAAGGTCTCATCATGTAGCACAAGCTGGCATCAAACTCATGATCCTCCTGCCTCAGCCTCAGAGTCCTGGTAGTACTGGTGTTGGCTGCCATGCCTTGCCCCAGTAGATTATATGTGCCTGTGGAATATGACTGACGAGGTGTCAGAACTGACAAAAATACCTAAGGAGATTCTGTGTAGTGGGAAGAAAAGTGAGCATGGTTAGAACTCTAGGAAACAAAACAAAAATATAGAGTTAAACAGAGCACCCAAACACTACAAAGGGCAGCAACATGGAGTATTCAGAAGAAGGAAACTGACAGAGAGTGATGGATGGGGTCACAGAAACCAGAAAGCAGAGTATTTCAAGAAAACTAAAAAGACCAACTCAACACATTTAGCTCTGCAGGTAGAGTTTTTCATCAGAACCACCTGCTTCCAAATAATCACATAGAGATTTATCATTAATTATAAATGCTTGGCCAATAGCTTAGGTTTGTTACTGACTAGCTCTTATATCTTAATTGACCCAAATTTTTTATCTACACTCTATCATGTGGTGGTACCTCTTTTCAGTGGCACATTCACCTCCTGCTTCCTCTGTATCTAGCTGGTAACTCTCGAGACTCTGCTCTTCTTCTTCCCTGCATCCCCACTGCCCCCCAAATCCTGCCTAGCTATTAGATGTTCAGCTTTTTATTAAACAAATCAGAGGGCAAAGACACATCTTCACAGTGTACAAAAGATTATTCCATAATATAATGCCACTTTCCAAGGCTTTGGAGAGGGCCTTGGTAGAGGCTATGATGAAGAAAAGATGAGTAATAAGAGAATCTGTCAGACTGGTGAGGCTGCAGCAGCTGACGAAGAGGCAACAACCAGCAGTCTTGTTTTCCCAGAATCTTCTCTATTAGAATGAGCTCTTAACCATTCTAAACCTGTGTTATTGATCTGCTCAATAAGGATCCATGCATATAATTTTATCTGTGGAAATTAAGGGAGGGATAAAGTAACTGATACTTCCAAAGTGTAAGACAATGGAGATAATTGCATGTATCTTCCTTGCAGATCCTTCATGATGTAGTACCCTAGATTATGTTAGATTTTATCTGCATCAGTAGGCATTATATCAAGGAACGGGGAAAGAAGAATTATAGGAGGCTACACTGAAAGGGGTAACCATATAACTAAAACAAAAATAGGATAAACAAGCCACCAGCTTTCATGGGTAATTATTTTGACCATATGTGTTGACTATGAGTGGTCTCACATGTCCTAAGAGCTTCAGCAGAAGTAGTCTGTGTGTTTCTTTAAAATATTTTCTGTTATATATTTTAAGACATAAAAAACCATAGAGAAGAAAATTCAGATATTAATTATAGGCCCTATATTTCAAAAACATCCACTCTCTTTCATTGGATGATGGGTGTGGTAGTTTGAATGTAATTGGCCCTCATAAGACTTTGTTGAGTAGATGTGGAGTGACTTTGTTGGAGTAGGTGTGGCCTTGTTGGAGGAAGTGTGTCATTGTGGGGGCAGGCTTTGAGGTCTCCTTTGCTCAAGCTTTATTCAGTGTAACACATAGTCTACTTCCTGTTGCCTGAAAGATTTAGGACTCTCAGCTACTTCTCCAACACCATGTGTGCCTGCATGCCCCCATGTCCCACTATGATGATAATAGACTGAACCTCTGAACTGTAAGCCACCACCCCAGTTAAATGTTTTCCTTTATAATATTTGCTATGGCCCATGGTTTCTCTTCACAGCAATAGAAACTAAGACAGTGGGTATCATGAGACAAGGATTTTACACTCTTTATGAGCCAAACAATCTGACATTTGGAGGCCTGTGGATTAGAAAATCCAGGTTCATTGCCTAGGAGTTTTTTATCTGGGAGGGGTGAGTCAGGTAAGGTTCAGTAAATATTAATTAATTGCTGGCTAGACCCAGGAGCTTTTCACTTACTACTCTCTTCTACCAGCTCCCCTCACTTATTTATCTTCTTTATCCCAATGGCTAAAAATAACTCTGATCAGATACTCTATTGAAAATAGGTCAGCAATACCATGCCGCTCTTACATGAACACATTTTAATGAATAGAGAAGTAAGCCCTTGGGTTTACTTCATTGTCTGGGAAATGGGAAATGCTTTCAAGTTGAAAAGTAGGCCTGGCCATCAAATATTCATGTCTGTAATTCAATATCTAATCTTATATTTATAATGTATTTAGTCAGTATTTTCCAAAGCTCTCAAGGCCATAGGCAATTGCTAAATGTTGTTAGAATAAGCGATTATATCGTTTAGCTAATGACAGAATGTTTTATGGCAAGTCAGCTTGAGAGAAATCCTATAAAGACCCATTTCTCTTCTGAAGTTCCGCTTGGCCAGGGACCCAGAGTGAGGTCTATCTCTGAGTCAGAAATTTGCTTTCTTTCTGAGATGGGTAGGATGGTTCACCCTTCCTCCAGTGCTCAGGCCATACTGATGATGTGTGGTCCAGATATCTCTGGAGAACACAGTTCAAGGTTCTTTATTCACAAAAGAGATGTTTCTTATCAAAAGTGAAAGACTGGAAAAAATAGATTTTGAAAAAAAAATTTTTTTTTAAATGACACAAGCCTGTTTTTTTTTTTTCTTTCCTAGGTTCACTTGGCTGCTGAAGTTACATTCTTGCAAGACAGACTAAAAGGCGACAGTGTGACAGAAATTGGAATAACTTTTCTAAAAAAGCTGGACGAGAAAAAATATAGACGGAAGAAGTGAAGACTAGCACGTAGAGTGCCGTGGGTGGTTAGCCGACCAGCGAGTATCAGCTGGACACACAGCGCAGTTTTGCATTGCCTGATGGCATGGGCTTTGACAGGCTTAGAAGCTTGCTGTGTATCACACAATTCCGCGATTTCAAATGCAAATAACTCCTGATAAAACAGCAAGCATGAATTCCACATATTACTCAATCCGTCCTCAGCCAGTCTACCCATCCACATACCTGTGGCAATGGGGAAAAAAAAGAAGCATCACCATTAGGGGATTATCTCTTTTCAATAGAAAAAAAAATGGACGAAATGATACAGCATTAGAGAGAGACAGACTCAGCCAGGAGGTGGTGCATGCTTTTAATCCCAGCACTCATGAAGCAGAGGTATGTGGATCTCTGTGAGTTCGAGGCCAGTCTGATGTGCAGAGCAAGTTCTAGAACAGCCAGGACTACACAGAGAAACTGTCTCAAAAAACCAAAAGGAAAAGAAAAAATTATATATATATACATACATATATTTGCAACACTTTAGTTTTTATAGATGATGAATATGCTTTTTCTCATATATTGTCTTGGCTTATGGTTTCAGCCACTCCCCAGTTATAATCACCAAGGCCACCTATTTATCTGGATGCCAGTTCTGAAGCATTAAATCTTATTATGTTTTAACTCATCTAGCTTTCAAGCTTACTTTCTCTAATTTGGAGATAGCTAGTATTGAGCAAATATCATGAGTGCCTCATGACATTTGGCTGGCGGAAGCCATGGAGATCAAATCTGAAAGTCTTTCGCTTAAAGCAGCACACTCTAGGTCCTTTGGATACGTTCTGGACCCTGGAATGTGCCCTTATTTGACTATACCCTCTCTTCTGTTCTGCCAACCCAGTCATCAAACCCACCACCCCGAAGGCAGCTCTATCTGATATTCTCATGGATACTACATATAGAACTAGTGATGACACCAAGATAAGTATCATTTTTTTAACTTTTACTTCATATAGCCGGAGAGAGAGGAGTATCTAGGAATTGAATTTATGCTATCAAAGTTGAGCCTTATACCTACAGCCCGGCTTCCCTGTGTTCACTGCTTCATCCTGATCACTGTGAGACCCCCTGAAAGCCACTTATATAGGGGCTTATATTCCCCCCTGCTTCTTCCTCCTCTTCCTCTTCTTTCACTTTATATCATATTGCCCAGTCTGCACTGCAGTGCTGATTCTCCCATCTCAAATTTCCAAGTGCTGGGATTTCAAGCATCATGTTTCAGATAATTTAAAAATTTCCTGTACCCACATTAAATAAACATAAAGGAATCAGTAACATTCATTTGTAGTAATAAATTTCATTTATATTTATATATGAATTATTTATGATAATATTTATTATCCTACATAATTATCCTATATAATTTATAATAATATTTATTATCCTACATTATAAGTTTTAGCACGGACATTTTATATTCCTTTCTGATATAGTCTTTAAAAATCTATCTTAGCACATATCAATTCAATGAATTTAATCTAATTGAGTTTAAATAACTCAATAGAGTTTAAAGTAACTTGTAGTCCTTCCAAAATGATAAATTTATAATTAGTGGTGTTTGACAGCTTTGGTTTTTAAAATCTGAATTCATTTAACCACGTGTAAAGAAATGCCATAATAATCACCCAGGAAGTCTTCAGTAATGTGTCTTAAAGTAGCCATGGGCTGCATAAATTCAAAGTTGAACGTTCAGTGAGTCTCCTTCCACTGATCTGGAAAGCCAGAAAAGAATGACACAGCAGTCCTTGCCAAGTTGTCCTCGAGACCTGAGAGGTGACCCAGAGAAGCAATAAATGAGGGCGTCACCAATGTCCCTGTTCTCAGAGTGTGTTTTCACTGTTGTGGGAAGTTCCATCATTGTGGTGAAGGGATACAGGAAGTTTTTTGACAGAGCTACAGGATTTTATTATGTTTCCATTTCACAAAACCCTTTAGCTTGACCCCTAAACTTTGATCAAAGCGGATTCTTAATATAGTGAAAAGCAGAAATAAAGAGGAAGGGACATGACAGCTCCTAGGTGTGGCAGAGAAGGAAGCTTATTATAGATATGTGGAAGACCATAGACAGAGACAGGGACATCTGGGAGCATCCAGAGCGGTCATGACCTTGAGCCCCGTGAGGAGAGACGGGAGGGGGAATGGGGAAGAGGAGAGAAGAGAACCAGATGCAGCAGCCAGGAGACCCAAAAGGCCTAGGTAACCAAAATAGTTGGGTTATATAGGGAAGGGTAGCTAGGGAAAGGGCAGCCCAGCCCTTGGGCTAAAGTTTAGGGTGAGAGACTCAGGCCCCCACAGATTCAGTGAGTTAGTAGCCCTAGCACAACCCCCAAGCAGCCTGGCTCCCAGTTCAGATCCAGTGCAAAGTACACACCCTGAAAACAGTACCAGAGCCAGGGGAAAGGACATTTTATCTTCAACCTAAAGCGGGAGAAAAATCCCCAGACCCTGAGACCTGAACCAAAAGAACTCCCTAAGCCCCTAGATTCAGAGCATATCAAAGATATTTGCCTCTTCCAAAAATTACAGCCAAAAAGGTAAAAAGAACCAAAGAAACACTATTTGGCTCCAGAATCAAATCAGGGCCATCTCTGCCTCTGACACAAAACCAGCCAATCCCTGTGCGGGGAAGGTAGACCAATCGCTGAGCGCCTAGAAGCTTGTACCTCCCCTCAGGCAATTTCTGACAATTGGGAATTCCCCTCAGGTCTAGAAATCCCCTTACGTCATGGGGCAACGAATCCCAAATCTGGAAGTCTGGAATCCTCCTCCCCCACCCCACAACCCTCTGGGGGAGGGGGGCAGTGAATCACAAGCCCAAAGGCTTGGAATTAACCCTCCCCACTTTTTGCCACTGGGGTCTCTCTTGCACTGTTCCTGTTGCTGCTATTGGCCATTGCTGCTGCTGCTGCTGCAGCCACTTCCAACAGACGGAGGGACCTGAGTTAACTCGCAATAAAGACTCCTTGCTTTTGCATCAGATACAGTCTTGTGGTGATGTTTTGGGGGTCCAAACTTGGGGCATAGCAAGGGTAAAGGGCAGGGTATGCCAGTTGGTATTGAGAGATGCTGGGAGAACCTGGTGACAGGTTCTCTTTGATATGTTCAATAGGCACCTTATCCATTTGTCTCGGGGCTTAAGACCGAACACTTACCATCGTTGCAAAGCCAAAGGCAAAAGATTCAAATAGATGTTGTCCAGATGACCCTCAGGATGCTGTCCGTGCTCTTTCCTAGAGGGCCTGTTTACTGTGTGCAGCTGTGGAGCAGGCCGGGGATGGGTGGGGAAGTGGAATGGGTGGGATGGGGTAGGAGGAACGGGGTGTGTGGTGGAATCTTCTCTGGAACGTTAAGCTCTTCTATCTCATCTTCTTGAGCTTCCTGCTTTTCTCACTTAGCTATTGGAAGTCCAGGCCCCTTCAGCAGTTGGGCTGTGGGAATGAGTGGAAGGTTCCCTGACGACTTGACCATGAAGGCCCCAGTAGAAGCTTGGAAAAGCAAGTCTATAATGTGCATAACCATGACGATGGCGCAACCAAAGAGACGGGCTCAGCAAATATCTGCTATTTTCTAAACAAACAAAAAATCTGTTAAATATTTCCTAACATACTAATGCTGAGTATAGCTATTATTTATTCGCTGTCATAGGTGAGAATTCTGCTAGGGTTGTAGATTCTGGGTAGTCGTGATATTTCACTGTCTCATCACCCCAGCTATGGAAGCTAGTTAGCATCTTCTCCATAATACACGGTAATTTTCCCTGCCATGGACCCTGGTACAGCAAGACACCTTCTAAAAAATACTTAAGAAAAAGACAAATTTGCTTACTTCACTTGCATGTTTCTTTTCTTGTGTGTCTCTGTGTGTGGTATGCATGTGTGTGTATGCAGTTTGCATGTGTGTGTGTGTGTGTGTGTTTGTGGGAGCCTGAGATTGACACCGGGCGTCTTGCCTAATCACTCCCCACCTTATCCATCGAAGTAGGAACTCTCAATGGAACCCAGAGCTCGAGGATGCTAGTCTAGCTAACCAGCTTGCTCTGCCTCTGCTTTCTGAGTGTTGGAATCACTGGCAGGCCTCCATGCCTGCCCGATATTTATGTGAGTTCTAGGAATTTGAACTCCTGTCTCCATGTGCATATAATAAACACTTTATGCACTGGGCCTCCTCCCCAGCTCCCATTATTTCATTTAAAAAAACTGTCTAGTCACTGAAGTTCCTCTGTCTACAAGCCTTACAGGATTTTAGCTGAACATGATCAACAGTCAACCAAGAGTATCTATGGAAATGATCAGCTGACAGTGAACTTTCTTCTAATGCCTAGACTGCACCTTCTAATGTTCCCAAGGTTCAACCACATGTTAGCATGTGTCAGAATGCCCTTCCTCCCTTTCATGGTAAGTAAAAGATCTTATAGATATGTCCATAGATATTAAAATACACGCCTTTAACATTCATCCAGTGATGGACACTTAAACTGTTTCCACATGTTGGCTGTAACAAGCAATGCTGCTAAGAACATGAGCGCACAAAGATCATTTTAAGACTGCTTTCAAGTGTTCTCATAGCTAGCCAGCAGTGAACATGATGGATGATAGGTAATCCTATTGTGAACTTGCTAAGGAGCCAGCACAGTGTGTACCACAAAAGACACATCATTTACATTCTTACTAAAGGCTCACAAGATTTGATCTTTCCACTCCCAAACTGGTTACTGGCTGTTTCTTCTGTGTGCACGTGTGTGAAGACTGCATGCCAAAAGGAACTTATATGCTCAGATTCCATGCATGTGATGTGGAGGCCAGCGGTTGACATCTGGTGCCTCTTTCCACCTTATGGGTGTCACTGCACTCAGTAGTTTATTATTATTATTATTATTATTGTTATTATTATTATTTATTATTATTATTATTTTGTTTTGTCTTTCAAGACAGGGTTTCTCTGTGTATCTCTGGCTGTCCTGGAACTTTGTAGACCAAAACTTGAACTCACAGAGATCCACCTGCCTCTGCCTCCCTGAATGCTGGGATTAAAAGTGTGCATCACCATTACCCAGGTACACTCAGTTTTTTTTATATGGGTGTTAGGCATCCAAACTAAGGCCCTCATACTTTCGTGACAAGAGCAAGTAGTTTACTGACTGACCATCTCCCTATCTCCTCAAAGAGTAATCTTTTTTAAAGTGTTATTAATTTAATCCTCTGTGCTTATGACATACATTTTATCTATTTTGTTACTTAACATATTATAAAAATCATCATAATAGTAATATAACATTGCATTTTGTACCTATGTTGTGGTTTGTTCAATCAGTAATGTATTGATAAATGTAGGGCCCAGGGCATCTTGGTATACACCAGCCGTTTGGCTACACTGACAGACAACTTGAAAAGCAGTCTTAAAATGATCTTTGTGCGCTCATGTTCTTAGCAGCATTGTTTGTTACAGCCAACATGTGGAAACAGTTTAAGTGTCCATTACTGGATGAATGTTAAAGGCGTGTATTTTAATATCTATGGACATATCTATAAGATCTTTTACTTACCCTGAAAGGG